TGCTCCGCGGAGCAAGGCAGTTAGCCGGGCGGCGGTAGCAGCAGCAGCAGGAGCAGTAGGAGGAAGTGGCGGAGGATGGGGTCGGCAACCGGGAGCCGGAGCGGCAGAGAGTCGCGAGCGCCGCTGCCTCAGCCGCGCTGGTTAGCTTGGACTGGCCGGCCCGGGCGCTGCGGGGCTGCGGCGAGCGCCGCGCTCTTGGCCGCTCTCTGCTACTGGAACTCGCTGCAGGGCGAGTTCGTGCACGACGACGTGTGGGCGATTGTCAACAACCCGGACGTGCGACCGGGAGTCTCCCCGCTGGCCGCCTTCTCCAACGACTTCTGGGGCAAGGGCATGGCCGAGAACACCAGCCACAAGTCCTACCGCCCGCTCTGCATCCTCACCTTCAGGTAAGCCGCTGCGAAGCCTCGCACCGGGCACGGCTCGCTGGAAGGCTGGGCGCTGCAGACTCGGAACTCCCGCGCAGGACTCGGGCTGGCTCGCACTAGTCGCCGTAGCGCAGTCCGGAGCCGAGCCTGATGCAACGCCTCTGCCTCTTGCAGGTCAGGGCAGTCAGCGCCGATTCCCGTGTCCCGACCCCTTTCCCTTCCGCCTTTCCCAGAGCTGTGGCTGTTTTGCCACTCTCTTCAAGACCCTGGAAGGTAGCTACCATGTGTTGGCATAACGGATGTTTGGAGCCTGGGAATCCCTGGTTGCCCTCTTGCCAACTTTATTCCTAACAGTGATTTCTGGAATGCTTGCTGAGAAATGCTTGCTCCCCTTGACCACCCACCCAGCGAATCAGCACAAACTTGCCCATCCTCGGTTCTCCCGAGGGAGGTGTTCATTGTACTCTGCACATGGCTGGAGGGCACTATTTTCCTAAGCCTGCCTTGCAACCCTCCTCTTTTCCAGCACCAAACGTGCCCTGTGAGTAGAGAAGCTGGAAGGCTTATTGGCTTTGCACTAGAGATCAGCTGGTAGGGGAGAAGCCCCTAGATAAAATTGGGATTGGCAGTTATGGATACTCAGATGAGATGGGAATGGGATGTATAGAATAACACCGGATGGAGTAACATAAGAGGGGTGTGTGTGTGTGAGTGTGAGTGTGAAAGGAGACAGTTCCCTGCCTCGAACAACTCAGAGTTGAGTCCTTGGTGCTCTCTGAGCTTGACTGTTTGCTTGCAGACGTTTCATTACCTTAGTCAGAGAGCACCAAGGACTCCACAGTTCAACCCTGAGCTACATATATTCTCTTCTGTAGAAATTTCAGAGTAGAAAATGTTGACCAAGAGATGCCACAGAGAACGAAAGGAAGGGCTCTGTGTCAGCTTTGTACCCTGAAGCTGGGAACATGAGGGTGGTAGTCTAACCAGCATTCAGAGGCATTTTTGTCTTGCTTTCAACGTAAATCAGGAAAGCACTGAGTGGCATAGAAGAAATGCATTATGGTAGCAAATGCAACTGGCACCCATAATATAAGGTTGGGCCAAGAGCAAGCTTGGGCTTCCCTGCCTCTCCCTGTTGCCTCTTAGTCATCTTTCCTGTGGGTTCAGTCGCTGCCCCAGCTCTGCTATCTCCGACCTCCAGCTCAGTGCTTATGCCAGGGGTGGCACCTTTGTTCGCTGAAGTCTGTTGGACAGTCACCCACCCCCTTTGCTACGTTCACAGAATACAGCTGAGCCACACATTGTAGCCTAGTGTGTTGTGTGAACCCAGCCCACCTGGTTAATCTATGCTTTTATTTGTACAACACACTGAACCACAAATTAGCCAACCACATTTTAGTCTACATGTCTACATGCAAACCCTATCCAGGTGGTCCCTATGTGGTTCAATGTATTGTGCAAACCCAGAAGTCTCTGTTTGGTGGATGAACCATGGCTACATTGGTGATAGGTGAAGGCAACCACCCAGACTTTTAAACTGGGTAATAGCTAATAGCTCAGAGGGCTGGACCTCTCTTTTTTTTACCAGCTCTTTATTCCTCTTTGCTTCTGCACCAGAGTTGGATAAAGGAATGTTCTTTTAAGAAATGTGGTGACCTTTTAGAAGTATTGCATGGCCTAAAATATTTTCCTTTGGGGAACTTTCCTAAAAGATTAATGCCTTTATTTATTTTTTCTTTGTATAAAGATTCCTACCCATTTCCCCTTAATGCCAAAGGAACCCTTCCTTTTCCTGGATTTACATGGCTTTGTGCTTTTGCCTCAGACTAGCTGATCTGTTTTCCATTTGTCTTCTGGAGTCACAGCTTCTGAGCATGTCATTCTTCTGTCATTCTCAGACCGGTCTTCAGTTTTATAACACCTTCCCCACAGATGTGTCTATTCTCTAAGGAGCCAGACCGTTGTATGCTTAATCAGACTATATGTCCATGTGTTTGTTCATTAAGATATAATCTTTATAAATATAAATACACGCCTATGAGTATAAAATAAATTAATATCTTTTTAGTCTGTCTTTCTCTAGAATTGGCATTATTTTAATTTTTTTTTTCTTATTGCCTTCATACTTAATGCACTACAAATTGTTTAAATCAATTCTGGGAGCTGAAGTCCACACATCTTAAAGTAGCTAAGGTTGAGAAACACTGCTGTAGGGTATCTGATAGAGAAAAGGCTTTCCTATTACTTCCCACCTGATCTAACTATAAATGCAGCAAATTTGTTGGCTGATGATGCCGAATTGTTAAGGGAGGTAAAATAAAAAAGGTATACAAAGGGTGGCTTCTTGTATTATTTCTAACCCATTTATGAGCAGTGGCTGTGTGTTTGGATGTACAAGTAGCCCTCATCTAGCAACTGCAATTGGGACTGGCAACTTGGTCATTAAGCAAAGCCATTGCTAAGTGAAACCGCACATGTGCTTATGATCTTTCTTCAGCTTTCCTTTGCTCTACAGACCTGTGAAGGTCGTAAATGCAAGGATTGGTCGTAAAGTCACATTTTCATCACTGTCGTAACTGCAAATGGTTGCTAAACAAGGCAATCGCTTTTCAGGGATTGAAAAGCATACAGGATTCCCTGTATGCATGGCCTACATGCACTCCAACATGGGTCTTGGAACTGGGGAGGAAGAGCATAGAATGGACCACTTGTGTACATTTGAACTTTTGCCCAACTGTCTTGCCCATGAGAATCATTCAGGAATTTTTCTTCCTGTACTCTGTGGCCTGATCCAGCCCAACTCCCTTTAAATAATTTCCTCCCATTATTCTCTTGGGTTGAAAATAATAAAAAGGGTTAGGTTATCTCTCCAAACTGGATGAGTGGACTTAAAAATAGCAAATGCAGTTCAGTGGAACCTAATGCAAGGTGAAACGTGTTGGCACAAAAAATGCAGATGTCACCTATAGTTTAATAGGATCTGAGCTAGGAACGAGCGACCAGGATGGGATCTTGCAATCATAATGGACAGCTCAATGACACTGTCAACCCTGTGTGTAGTTGCAGCATAGGGGTCAAATTCCATGCTTGGAATCATTAGGAAAGCAACTGAAAATAGGTAAAAAAAAAAAAGGAGCTAGAAAAGATACAGAGGACAACCAAAACGATTAGGGGACTTTCCCATAAGGAAAAGACTGCGGCAGTTGGAGCTCTTTAGTTTGGCACAGAGGAAGATATGGGGAGACACGATCGTGGCATGTGAGTGCATGCATGGCATAAACAATGAGAGGAGAACGGTTTTTCTCCCTTTCCCACAGTGTAAGAATTTGAGATCATCCAGTGAAACTCAATGCAGGGAGATCCAGGACAAACAGAAGGAAGTACTTTTACACACAGCACATCTGGTTTCATGGAGGTCCATGTTTACTAACTGGGTGCTGCGAAGTAACAGGCTTAGGGGTTTCCCAAATGATTCTGCTGTTACAGCAACATCCCTGTAATTTATTTTGCTGATTTAACCCTTTTTGGGCCCATAGATTGCATATTTGGATATCTGGCTTTACAGTATTTCCAAGTTTGATGTCCTATTTACAGTAGTTAAAAAAAAAGTTACTTCAATAGGACATTGCAGGAAGTGTGTGTTGAAGAGTTTCATATTTAGTTCTTGTCCATTATAAACTATAAAGCCATAATAGAGCAGCACCAGATCAACAAATCGTAGCATTTGGCACTGGGTACATAGATCCATAATCTGATCCAGTATAAAAATGGTAACATTGTATGCCATCCTCTGGGGATAGCACCCTGGAATAACAGTTGCAATTGAATAAACCTTGCTTTGGTTTATTTGAAAGGGCTCCCAAAACTAATTCTAACTGGGATAAAGACCTCAAACTGTGTTCTTGGCTTTCTGCACCTTGTTGAGATTGTCATTAGGGTCTTGAACACAGTTGTATCTTGGATATGGCCAGTGACAGCTTCATGTGGAATTAGCTGCAGAGCGGCAGTTGCAGACTTTGCTGTCCGCTGCCAGACAGAGGGCCTGCCGTACTTTGGGGAGTGATAGATGGTGCTAGTAGAACATTTTGTAAAAGTGCAAGTAAAGGTGGCATTCACTGGATTGCTGTTGAGGGGGATATGAATTCTTCAGTCAGCATGTCTTTGTCTCTACTTCAGCTTCAGCCCAAACATTCTTTGTGCTCACCTGGTCTTTTCTCCATCAGTATCTTCTCCCAGGTACTGGTGGGCTCACTTGATAGAGGAAAGGGAGACAATGTATTGTCGAAGGCTTTCACGGCCGGAATATGATGGCTGATGTGGGTCTTCCGGACTGTGTGGCCGTGTTCTGGAAGTTTTGGTTCCTAACGTTTCCGGTCACAGATGCTGCCGAAACGTTAGG